TTATTTGAGGAAAAAAGTATGTGAACCTAAGTTTGGTTTGACATTTATATTTTAATTATTAAATACAAGTTAGCATGTTTTTATTTCCTTCCTAGATTATACTTAGTTGTTGTAGTAATTTAGTTTATGTCGTAGTATATTTAATTCATAAAAGTGATTTACTTGTGCTAAAGTTGTTGTGCTTTAGAGTCTTGTTAGTTATTGTGGTACTACCTCCTTGCCGGAGTGTGAGTAATTAATTTATGAGCTGCGTATGGTGCCTATGAATGGCCTGTTATGGTATATTTGGTTGTTGTTGATGTAGTTGTGGTATTTGTGACAGGGATATTTTTTTGGATAGTCCAATTTACAAGGGAAACTCTGCCGAAATTTTTAAAAATTTAGGGAGTAAGCCAAAATTTTGAGTCCCTTGGAAGAATGAGTAGTGTTAAGAAAACTTAAGAGGTTCAAGGACCTAAGGGATGATTGTTAGCTTAAGAATACGGCCTTAGCAACATTCGAGGACGAATGTTTTAAGGAGGAAAGATTGTAACACTCCTCAAATTTATAAAAATTTCAAGACTCACTAAATATAGAATTTAAATTTTTTTTCCCTTAAATTATACTCGTATTACAAATTTAAACCCTTGTGATTGACTTTTGAGCTACTTCTCTATTTATAAATAATTGAATATACGATTGGAGAATATTAATAATTTTAATATTATTAATTATTAAAAGTGGGTATCATTAATTATTAGCTAAGTAAAAAAAAAAAAACAAATAACAAAAAAATTGGAGGACAAGCCTAAGCCCATAAAGGGCTGTTGAAAGAAAATGGATTTTTACATTCCTATGCCATATTGGAAACTTTATTAACCTAAATGTTCATGTTTAGTAAATTACCCTACCTACACAAGTTTTGTTTACAAAATATATACATTCCACCTTAAAAGGCTTTCAATCCATTATTGGTGCCTTCAAATTAAGGGATTTAGTTACACCATTTTCCTTTTTTTTCCTCCTCTTCTCTTTCCTCTTAAATCGAACACAAAACTGACAACTTTCGACCCCTTATTGAATTGAATTGCAGTAGGCACTGAAAGTCTAATTCTTCTATCTCTAAGACCCCTTATTGTGCAGACTTTACTGTGTCTATCTTTTCCACCAAAAGTACGTGATACACGTATAATTCTTGGATTTTTAAAGCCTTCCTACTGCCTTGAACTTGTAGATGTAGTAGCCTTTGAGGTCAATTTACTGTTGTTGGTTCCACCAGAAGTACTTTTGTTTTCCCCCAACACCATAGGATTCCTCAGTTGGCATTTGATGCCTCGTTATTCTTCTTTTGTACTTTATTTGCAACAACACTCAATCCAAACAAATAATGATTTTTGAAAATCCAAATTCGAATTCAAAGCTTCAGAGCTTTTTAATGGCTGTCAATGGTGGAATTGCTGCTCTTTTTTCCTTTGCTTTATATTACTGAAATTTGGGATTGAGAGATAGAGAGAGACGTAGAGTGAATTCTCAATTCTTTGCAACAACATCCAATCCAAACAAACAATGTCTTTTGAAAACGCAAATTCGAATTCAAAGCTTCAAAGTTTTTAATGGTTGTCAATGGTGGAGGGATTACAGATTTTTGCTGGTTTCAGAAGAGGAAATAGTGGGTGATTGAAGAGGAAATCGTGGGGTGTGGTTTGATACGTGGGTGAGGGGGTGAGATTTGGAGAGAGAAACTTGGGGGGAGTGGGAATATACGGTAGAGTTAAATTAGGAGAATTAATACCATTAAAACCCCTAAAATGTACATAAATGGTAATTAGGTATATAAAAGGTAATTATATTAAAAATTAAGCATGGAGGGTAATATAGTTTACTATATGACATAGGAATATAAAAATCCCGAAAGAAAAAGGCTTAAAGATTTATAGCCTTGCCTTTGACGTCAAAACTCAAAGGTCCAAAGAAAAAGCAACATAATATTATAGAACAACAAAAATAGAACGCTGCTCTCTTTATGCAACGAACACAGGAAAGGAAAAAAAATCCTAGGGTTCTTTACAAATCACTAATTCTTAAACTCAGGTATGTGAAATTCCCTATTGTCAATTACCCCACAGTAGTTGTAGGTAAGAATTGAATAGTTAATTCCTTTCTTCCTCTATATCAACAATAAATCCCATGTTTAGGTGTGAAATTTTAAAATTAATTAAAATACACTGGTTGTTGTAGAATTAATTATTTGACGGGTATAAATTGGACTGGGGTCTACATGTTGGCTCAAGGAGTTTTGAGGTGAGTTGATATAACCCTTTATTAAAGTGGTTTAAATCACAAAAGCACGCATACAAGGTGTTTGATGAATTGCTTAAAGGAGTTTATATTTACTTAATTGGAGCGAGTGAGTACCTATTAACTTAGAATTGTTCTAGCAAAAGTCTAGATGATTTATTATGATACATGTGCTTAAATTTTCAGATTTTTGTGTTATTCTTATATGCTATTTTCATGTTGAAAATAGAAGAAAGAATTTTTAGAAATACTTTTACATGTTTATTTTATTCTTATGACATGCTTTACATTTAAGGATACCAGCATGAGCATGTACATGATGTTCTAAAAATAAAAGATTTAGACTTGAAAGGTCACAAAAAGAAGTTTTAGAAAGAAAAGATCTTTGGGAGTATCCTTTATTCTGAGAAGGGGTCATCGTCCAGGCCGAGGGTCCTGACAAAGGCGTTGACTCCCTTGAACTACTTGTGCCAAAGTAGGGAGCACACGAGCCGAGGGTCTCGTTACTGAGAATTTACTTAGCCATGCTAAGGTATGATACATGAGCGATGAGAACCATGAAGCGAGTGGCACCTCGTGGATTGAGCCTATTCTATCAGGTCGGGATCGAACCTGTGCCGATCACACGGTGACTGAGATAGAATTATGTCAGGATAGTTGGAACTCCCAAAGTATAAAGTGAAGTATTTTTTATAAGAAAGAAAAGAAAAGAATTTCTTTTAGAATATTCATAAACTGCTATTATGCAATTATTTTAGAATTGTTCTTATAAGCTTTATGTTTTACATGCATTTAGAATCTTTGCTCGTAATGTAGATGTTATTAAAGTTTCGTCCCCTGTCGTTGAGACTCGCTGAGTACAATGGATGGTACTGACGTTCTCTTTTGAGAACCTACGTTGGTCTGCAGTACAACGTAGGAACCGGTTTTGCAGGCCAGCAGGCTACAGGTTAGGACTTCCTTCTCTTCTAGTGCTATTGGTGAGCTCCGCTTTTGTTCGTGGAGTATTCCTTAGAGTCATTTTTATTTAGCTATTTCTTTGTTTACTTAGAGAGCTGGCTAGGAAATCTCATGTCCTGAGCAGTGCGTCAGTTTATCAGTAGAGGCTTCATAGACATAGTCGGTGGGCTAAAATTCAGATGTTTTCGATAATAACTTAGCAGTATTTTATTAGTTACTACAAATAAAGTTTTGAAGTTGGCTTATTTTAGATATTTAAATTATTTAAAAGTATTTGGTTACAGTAGTGCCTTGTGGCATATAAAGTTTGAAGTTATAATAGATTTGATAAGCGCAGATGGTTCGCTCGGTCATGTTTAATGATTGGGTGCCGATCCCGACTTGTTCAGAAAATGGGTCGTGAGATATTAAGCAAAGATGATGAGGTTTAAGCTGAGTTTCCTTGAACTGAAAATACTAAAGCATGAAACATTTGATGTGCGTGATTTTTGATTGAACTTGCAAGAAGAAAACTATAGGGATAGACTTGTGAAGATCCTAATTAGTATATATAATTTATCATCAAATATATCTATTTGTAAATTGATTCATCGACTTATAACTTACTTAGATGCATCGATGAATATTAAAAATAAAACGTTTGACCTATATATATATATATATATATATATATATATATATATATATATATAACACGCATCGTTGTACTACTTTAACTACATATATAGCATGTTATAGTATATGTTAGTGTATTCATTTTTTGTATTATAAAAGTGTTAACGAATTGCATTTATATTATTTAGATAGTAAATATAAAAGTGATTCAAAATTTTGACCAATGTTGACCTAATAACCGACCAACTTTGGTCGGTTATGTTCCAGAAAATAAAATATACCGACCAAAGTTGGTCGATAATTTTAAATATAAATTCTTTAAATTTATAAAATATTTTAAATAATAATATAATTATTAAAATTTAAAAAATTAGGTCCACATTACCGACCAAAGTTGGTCGAAAATCCAAAAGTTTCTTTAACTAAGCTAGTCTGACCAGCTCGGCCAACTTGTTGACCAATTTACCGACCAACTTTGGTCGGTATTTATTTTTAAAAAAATGTAAAATATTTTTTTTTCTAGTTTCCGTCCAAGCTGGACAGTTTTTGATCGCTTTTTTTTGACTTACCAACGTTGGTCGGAAAATTTTGGTCGATTTTTAGCGGATTTCTAGTAGTGAAAACACCGGAAGATGATGAAACATTTCTGCAAATCGTATCACTATTTGTGTAATTTGACATGTGATGATAAAGAATTTCCATCGAGCCCTTTGTTATAGATATGTGTCATACTCTATTCCAGAGGCGGGTGTAAAGTGTTGACGACGGGTTCAATTGAACCCATAGCTTTCCATGCGGAGTAAAAATTTATATGTAAAAATTATAAAAATAGTAAATATGAATCCCATAACTTTAAAAGTATAATGAGTTCAATGTTAAAACCTTAAAAATTGAACCCATAAAGTATAAATCCTGGATCCGCCTCTGCTCTATTCTGCTTGTCTCCCGATAGATTAGAGGGTTTTCCTCTGGCAACAACTCCTTGATTGGACCATATAGTCCTGATTCTTGAAAATTCATTATGAAAAGACTAGCCACTGGAATTCTTGGTCCTACACTCTTAGTCTATACTCTGTGATGAACGCTTTTGAACTTGTCATTTTTGATTACAAAACAAAATGGAAACTAGAGTTTGTGACACTTATATGAATATATCACGCTCAATTTTCGAATAGATTAGTCAAAAATATAATCATCCATAAAGATAATAAAAGTGCTTCTTTTCACCATCTGTGAAGCTTAAACATAAGAAATATCTTACTTTAGAACATGAAAATTAGATTCTCCTAACCTACTTTCCATGATTACATTACTATGGCTGGATCTTGTAGTGCAACAATGCAGAAGTTCCATCTAGACCTTTATCGCAGAAGTAATCAGCATAGTCTTTCACTGTGGTTGCGCGATATTTTGGAGGATTATCTTCTGATAACAATTCCTTAATTGGCCCATAAATCTTGGAAGTTGGCAATGAACTGGTGTAGAAGAAACATGCAACTGATATTCTTGGTCCAACTTTATTTGACAATACTCTGTGCTCAACACTTATGTACTTGTCATTTGATATCAGCTGAAAAACACCAGAATAAGAATTATCGATTTTAGTAGCAAAGAAAGTTCTTATATTCTATTCTCTGGAAAAGGTCCAAATTTACTCCTCTACTTATTTTACCTTCCGTTATACTTTGGGACTATCAATAGCGTTACTATTAGCAAAATGTTTACCCTTGGCTTTACCAAAGCTCCAGCATGGGTCGGTGGATTATGCGTGTCAAAATACATGGGGGAAAGGTCCAAATTTACCCTCCTACTTTTGCTTATGATTTATAATTACCCTCTGTTATACTTCAGGTTGGAACTCCGTCAAGGTTAAGGGACAAATACAGAACGATTTGTTGACGCTAAGGATACGAATGGCCCCAAAGTATAATGGTGAATAATATTAAGAAATTATATAGTAGAAAGATATATTTGACCCTTTCCGTTCATATTTTTGTCGTGTAGATCTATGTTTAGAGAAAGAAAAAGATACTAGCCTGCATAAGATCTCCAATATTCACCACAAGTGCACCAGGCGTAGGAGGGACATCGACCCACTGATTCTGGTGAAGAACTTGTAGTCCTCCAATATCATCTCGCAGAAGCACTGTGATAAAATCATTGTCAGAATGTTTACTAGTGCCCATTGTGAGTTCTGGCTGAGGGCATGCTGGATAGTAATGACCCAAAACGCGTAGTCCCTCAGCACAATCCATATTTGTAAGATGAGATAGATCGAGACCAAGACCCTCAGACAATAATTCAAATAAGGATATGCCCAATTTCATGACATGCTTAGAGAACTCCATTAGTATTTCCCTGCATCAATTTCAATAACTTAATGAAACAGTACTTAGAAATAACTTAAAGAAAATATTTAAGTTAATCCGCTCAATTGACCTCGGGGGGCATAGATATTAGATCTCCTATTTTCCTACAATATCCGCCAAAACTCACATTAAGCTTACTGACATTGTCATGGTTTGTTCTTGATCTTTTTCACAACATAACACATATTTAGTTAGTGCAAAAGTTAATGAAGTATATTGGTTCTATCTAATTCATATTCAGAAAATACCTGCATTCTGTGGGCAATTCTTCTGGACTAGGATGATTAGGAGCTATCAAACAGAAAATTGAGTCTCTCCAATTTGCAGCTGGAACAGAAGGCCTATACAAGTCAAAATTGCTAACATGAACGACTTTTTTGGTATTATCTCGCGTATAAAATTGTTTCTTAATCTCAATATTTTGCTCAAAGAATCGCCGTGTTCCTTGCAACATTTCTTCAAGGACAGATAATGGAATACCATGATTAACCACTTGGAAGAAACCCCATGTCTCCGATGCATCTCGAACTTTTTCCACAATCTCTTTATGCTTCATTGGATCTTTATCAAAGCCTTCAAGATCTATCACTGGAAAAATGAACTTTGTCGCGCAGCTATTTAAGGACTCCTGGATTTGTGTTGGCTGGATGAATATTCGAGGCACCTTAGTAATTCCAGCATCGACAAGCCCTTTGACACCGGCCTTAGTATCATCAAAGGCTTTTAACTCACTCATTCTGTCATAACTTTCCTGAACTCTGTCCTGAAAATCATCTGTGCTAGAGACTGCCATCTATTTGCTCAAGTTCTTAGTTTGATAAAAAAAAATATTTCAAAGGTTGAGAGGGTATATATTTCAGATGGAGGAAAGAAAAGAGGAAGAGAACATTTAGATGTATAGTGATACATCATACTGGTTAGATTTGATACTGCATTTGTTAAGTTATATTTTTGTGAACACGAGGCATCCTCCTTAATATAGTTTAGGCACAATCACATGTATATAAAGACTTTTATCATAGTTTAAGACTTTCTCTGTACAATCACATGCACGGCAGAGTAATTTTTTTGTAAAGCTCAAAACTGTAAAGAGCTGAGCATTTGCAGCCTTAGTAATATAAGATAGGCATAATACATAAACAAACCCTTAAACTTGGCCTTAGCTGTCAAGTATGCCCCCCAACTTTGAGTGTGCATAAGTAGGCACCTCAACTTGTACAAATTTGAACATGTAAACACAAATGTTGATGTGGCACATAAATTTTGGAGGTGTCTAGATGATCATTTTGTAAGTTGGAGCGTTCAACTGACAGTAGAGACAAGTTGAGATGCCTACTTGTGCACACTCAAAGTTAAAGGGCATACTTGCCAGCTGATGCCAAGTTTGAGGGCATGTTTATGTATTATTCCTATAAGATATAAGGAGGTTAGGTACTATATCATTTTTTTCGGGTCAATTGGTTTTTTTGGCTCTTTACAAACTTATTTTTAGTTTCATGACTCTACCTTTTTTTTTACACATGGGAGATTTAATTTTACATATAAGAGATCTATCTTTTACTCATAAGAGATCTAAAAAGATCATTTTCTTAAATTTCAAATTGTAAAAGGGCATGATGTACAAATAGCACATTTTTTCCGGGTATTAACTAATACAAGGCAGAGTTATGTCTAATCTTTGTCACCACAAAGTGAGTTCTACAAGAAAAAAGTGCAACGAGTCAAACAAGTTTCTCTTGGATAAACTGACCACAATGCTCACCGGCGGTACTTACCGCATAACATTAAAGCGCATCACTTGCAGAATAGAGAAAAAGAACAGAAAAAAGGACATTTATAAGATATTTTGGTGGCTTCTGAAAAGGAAAAAAAAAGAACGAACATAAATTATCGGCGCAGATCAATAAAACAGTGAATCACTGGCAAATCAAGAATGGCATCTTTACGAATTTTAGTGCCATTTCTGGTCAGTGGTGATACTTTGGAATAAACTTTATGTTAGATATGATTTTAATGATGAAAATAATATATCTGTTCTTTGTATAGGAGCTTATGGAAAGCATTCAAGATTGGAGGAATCAGTCAGAGAAGATCAAGGAAAGCTTCCAAGATTGAAGGAATCAACGATAGTGTTCAACACTGACGGAATAAGTTAAGGCTAGATTGAAGGAATCAATCAATCAAGAATATCGAAGATCTTGCAATATAATCAATCAAGTATGCTAAATCTGGAAGGACCAAGATTCAAGGAAGGATATCCGGCGCTATCAAAGGGAAGTCATTAAAGCCATCTCGCCAAGACAAAGCCGGTGCTGAATAACCTTATTCTTGGAAATAATCAATCTCTTTCTAAGGATCAAATCTCTTGGGTTGGCAAATCTCTTCAAAAATCAAGGATCTCTCAAAGTATTTAATCTTGTCTTTGTACCCTAGCAAATATACTTTGATCGAACCAGATACCCTCTCTTTGTTTTACTGTAAACAAACATTGTAGTTCTACTAGATTTGCTGTGTAACAAGTTAGAGAAGAAAGAGAGAACAACACTGGTGAGGCATTGTATAAAAAAGAAACGAGTGATATAGGAACTGAGCGATCGGTGTAGATCACACCATTCACTGTGTACTCGAGAAACTCATTCACTGAAAGAGAACTCCCTTGCAACCCAAGGGGACTGGACTATGATTCACATTGAATCCGAACCAGTATAAAAATTCCGGTGTCTTCAATTCCTGCATTTAATCTGCATCTTTAATTCTGTCCTTACTGTTATCAAGTTATTACATCTAGTCGACTAATTTGAAAACTAGTCAACTGATAGCGTTTAATTATTTAAAAATAAATAATTCACCCCCCCTCTTGTACTTTCAATTGGTATCAGAGCAAGGCTCACATTTTTTCTTTTGCTTAACAGCTTGTGAGAAAAGATCATGGCGAATCAAGTTATTATAGGAGCACTCTTCCAAGAAGGAAATTCGCAAGTGAGGCCACCATACTTCAATGGACAACATTTCTCTCGCTGAAAAGTGCGTATGGATATATACGCAAAGGCTTATGATGTTAAAGTCTGGAGAGTCATCAAAAAGGCTATCCTCTGCCGGCTGCCGCTCAACCACTTGCTGATCCTGAAGATATAGATTCATATACAGATGAGCAAATGGCAATTGTACAAGTCAACAACAAGGAAAGAAATTTGCTCTACAATGCTATAAGTGGTGAAGAGTATGAGAAAATCTTCTATTGTGATACAACCAAAGAGATGTGGGATAAACTTGAAGTTACATACGAAGGAACCATCAAAGTAAAGGAAACATATATCAACATGTTGATTCATGACTATGAACTCTTTCAGATGAAAGAAGGAGAATCTATTGAAGAGATGTTTGCCAGATTCAGCAAAATCATTAGCGATCTAAAAGCTTTTGGTAAACCATACTCAAGTGGTGATCAAGTTAGGAAGATTCTTAGAAGCCTACCCACTACTTGGCAGACCAAAGTGGTCACACTTGAATCACAGGATCTGAATAAGCTATCATATGATGAACTTCGAGGAGAACTCATAGTTCTCGAGAAAACACATTTCAAGAAAACAAATCAAAAAGAAAAGAAGAAAACAAATACATTCAAGGCCACAACTGAAGTGGAAGAAAATGATATCGATTATGATCCTGAAGCTCTTCAAGAAGAAATTTCCATGGTATCAAGAAACATGGATGGTTTAATGAGAAGATTCAGGAATGCGAGAAGAGGAAGGATGCCACCTAGGCGATCCAGACAATATAATGAACAAGATAAAAATGATGGAAAATGCTATGAGTGTGGAAGATTTGGACATGTTCAAGCTGAGTGTCTAGATCTAAAAAGAAAAATATCCAGAGGCTTCAACAAGAACAAATTATTTGGAAGCTGGAGTGATGAAGACAGTTCAGAACATGAAGAAATAGCAAATCTTTGCTTCATGACAATTCTGGACAACGACATGAACAAACTTTTAGGATGCTGGACAGATGAGGACACCTCAGATGATGAATGCAAAGATGACAATGAAAACTGTTTCATGGCACGAGGTGAAACAAGCGAGGTAAGATCTTATAACTGTGAAAGATATAATGAATTGCAGGATATTCTTGATCTTACTTTGAAAGGGTCTCAAAAAATGATGAATGAACTAAAGAGACTCAACAAAGAAGTAAAAGACTGGAAACTCAAGCATGAAGTATGTGAAATCGAAAAAGAAGTATTTCAAGAAGAGTTTGAGGAATTGCAAATGCAACTCAATGGCATGCGCAAACCCACCAGTCACAGTTCTATCACGTCAACCCACCGACTTACAAGTCAACTAGAGAAGGACCATCCAGAACAAAGTCCACTAGTACCAACACTAATGAAAGATCCAAAAATGAATCAGGAGTTACGTGTCACTACTGTAACAAAAGTGGACATAGATATTCCTTTTGTAGATTTCGTAAATCAAATGTTTCAGGATGGATTTGGAAACCCAAAACAATTCTGAGTCAAGTAATACTAACCAACCAGGACCCAAGCAAGCTTGGGTACCTAAAAAAGAGTAATCACTATGTCTTGCAGGAACACCACAGGAGGAGTCGCAAAGGAAAATGGTACTTAGATAGTGCTTGTTCTAGTCACATGATAGGTGATAAAAACCTATTTAAGGAAGTTACAAAAATAGATGGAGGAAGTGTTAAGTTTGGGGATGATTCAAAAAGAAAAATAGTCGGTACCGGAATAGTCCCTTTCAATAACAATTGTGATATCACTGAGGTTTATCTTGTTGATGGACTTAACTACAACCTTCTGAGTATAAGTCAACTATGCGACTCGTGGTATGAGGTAAACGTCAAGAAAACAGGTTGTGCTATTGAAGATAAGACATGTAAAATAATCCTTCCAGGTTGAAAGAGAAAAGGGGTATCTGATTACAACAATCCAAAGTGATTATTGAGAAAAGAATTTGAAAATAGAGCATTTGAAGAATTCTGTAATGATCAAGGACATACTCACAACTTCTCTGCACCAAGATCACCCCAACAAAATGGAGTCGTGGAAAGGAAAAATAGAACCCTGCAAGATATGGCAAGAACTATGATACTAGAACATTCACTGCCAAATCACTTTTGGGCAGAAGGAGTAAGTACAACATGTCACATTCTCAACCGATGTCTCATAAGGCCTATTTTGAAGAAAACACCTTATGAACTGTGAAAAGGTAAACGTCCTAATATTAGTTACTTTCATCCGTTTGGAAAGAAGTGTTTCATTCACAACAATGGTAAGGACAATCTTGGAAAATTCGATCCAAGAAGTGATGAAGGTATTTTTTTGGGTTATTCATTAAACAGTAGATCATTTAGAGTCTTTAATAAACGCACACTGTGTGTGGAAGAATCAGTACATGTTATATTTGATGAAAATAACTCTTCGGTCGAGAAAGGTATTATTGCAGGTGATAAAGATCAAGCTCAAGAAATTCAGGAGACAAGAAAATCTCAAGAGTCGACTAATGGATCTGATGTTGTGATAGAGTCAACTAATGAAACCAGCAACAATCCACCAGAACCTTCAAATGAGTCAACTACTCATATAGTTCGTCCAAATGAATGGAGAAGTGAACCTGAATATCCTCAAAAGTTCATCATAGGAGATCCAAACGAGGGAATGAAAACCAAGGGAGCTCTCAAGAAGAAAGAAACATAACACTAATTTCTCAGATTGAGCCAAAGAAAATAGAGGAATCTCTGAAAGACTCAAGCTGGGTGCAAGCAATGCAGGAAGAGCTAGATCAATTCGACAAAAATCATGTATGGAAACTGATACCCAAACCTGAAAGTGTTCCTGCAATTGGAACGAAGTGGGTCTTCAGAAATAAACTGAATAAGGATGGAAAGTCGTAAGAAAGAAAGCTAGGTTAGTTGCTCAAGGGTATTCACAACAAGAAGGAGTCGACTATGACGAAACCTTT